AACCCGCCACCTTAGGTGTACGTGGCTGGCGCCTTAGCCGGTTGAGCCACAGGCGCCGAGCCAGAGCAAATGATTCTTTGGGGGAAAGGCAAAAATTATTCTATGACATAGGACCCAAGTTCAATGGTAGGAAGTGTACTCTGATTAATCACACACTAACTTTAGATTACTGCCTAAAACTTGGTTTGGCAATGACTCTTAAAGAAAGATGGAAGCATTTTGTCTAACTTTTCAGTTTTTCAAGTTTGTACTGTTGAAATTACAGCTTGTTTTCAAGCCTTTTCAGATTTTGTTTTTGATGCGGGAGTTCACTTACTGCAACATACATGACCATGCTTTGTTCTCATATTTGATGCTGTAAGCACAAAGACCAAGTACGTGGATGGCCGCAGTGGCTGCACTGGAACATTTTTGCTTGGGTTTAAGGGTTGAGAACTTGGCCAGCAGGTTTCTAAAGCAGGGCAGTCCTTGCCTTTTGAGTTAATTAGAACCTCTGCACAGAGGTGAGACTCTCTTTTTTTTTTTTTTGAGACAGAGCCTCAGGCTAGTTCCCTGGGTAGAGTGCTCTGGCATCACAGCTCACAGCAACCTCCTCCAACTCCTGGGCTCAAGCGAGTCTCCTGCCTCTGCCTCCCAAGTAGCTGGGACCACTGGTGCCCACCACAGCGCCTGGCTATTTTTTTGGTTGCAGGTCATTGTTATTTGGCGGGCCCAATCTGGATTCAAACTCGCCACCTCAGGTTATGTGGCTGGTGCCTTAGCCACTTGAACCACAGGCGCCGAGCCTTTGATTCTTTTTAGTGACCGACGTTAGTGTATTCACCATGGTTTAGCACTTTGTTTTGGTTTTTACTGAGTTCAAGATAACCAGAAGAGAGTGGAGTGTTTTTGAAGGAACTTAAATAAAAAAACTGGTTGACATTTGCAAACAATGTTATTTTGTGAACATAATATATTTTGGACCCTTAAATATAAAGTGGATAAAATCACAGCAATATTGTTATATATGGGTTGTCAACTCTGAAACATACTCCAGGAAAACAATTGCACTGTCTGGATAATTAAAGTGTGGTAATAATTCAATTTGTATAGACTGGATATAATTTGTAATCAAGTGTGGTATGTATGTTTTACTTTAAGCAGTATATCATTTACAACTATTACATTAACTGCCAATTTAAAAGTGTGTGTCATGGCTTCATGATTTGATATAGCTTTCATTATATTTCAAGCATATTCATAAGTAAGCTTTCTGGGAGCAGAATGGTCTCTTTGGTGGAAAGAAAATATGGCCTTTCATATTTGTGAGTTTGTTTACATATATATATGTCATTGTTTCATTGGCCCGGTTAGGTCCATTTAGTAAAATTTATTTGCCCTGATTAACCAGCTCTCATTTTATTGAAATGATGATAAATCTCACTATTTTAATTGAACTTACACGTTTAATTTTAAACCTTATCTTGCCATATGTATATTTGATTTATATCTCACAATTATATATATGTATACATATATACATATATAATTTTTTTTTGAGACAGAGTCTCACTATGTTGCCCTTGTTAGAGTGCTGTAGTGTCACATTTCACAGCAATCTCAAACTCTTGGGCTTAAGTGATTCTCTTGCCTCAGCCTCCCAAGTAGCTGGGACTACTGGTGCCTACCACAAGTCCTGGCTATTTTTCTGTTGCAGTTGTCGTTTAGCTGGGCTGGGTCGAGTTCCAACCTGCTATCGCCAATGTATATGGCTGGCACCCTAACCATTGAGCTAGAGGTACTGAGCCACCTGGCGATTTTTTTAGAGACAAGGTCTTGTTCTGGCTCAGGCTGGTCTCAAACTCCTAAACTCAGGCAATCCTGCCTGAGATTTACAGAGTGCTAAACACCTGCCTTAGATTTACAGAGTGCTAGGATTACAGGTGTGAGCCGCCATGCCCAGCCTTCTCCATATTTTTGATGGGGCCATGCCTGTTGGAACTGTAGAACTATTATTTCTGTAAACTTCAAATACAAATTCCTGCTGGTCTGGTCCTAATCCTGTAATGGTTTGGAAATCCTCCTCCTGATGGTCTAC